ATTTATATGTTATTAAAATATGTATTTATATATATATATTCTATCATTAATATGCATTATTATTATTATTATTATTATTATAATTATTTATTCGTATTAATTATTATTATAAGTCGACCACCTGCCTTCTCTCATATTTTATTTTTATATAGTTTGTTTTTAAATATATATTTTAATCATTTATTTTTCTTTTTTGACATTTTACACAAAATTGGTTATTTTTTAATTAACTTTTTTTATTATTTTATTGTTATTTATGTTATTTTTTTATTAAAATATGTATATATATTGCTCCAGTTTCCACACACACACACACACACGCGGAGGCAGGGAGGGGTCGAGCTGCTGCTGGAGGCTGTGTCAGAATGAGGCAGTGTGGGAAAGCCTGACGCTATGTTGAGGAAGCTGGTGTGCCGGAGGATCTGCGCCTGTAAGCATCTCACTGTCTGAGCACTGCATGAGCGGAGAGACGAGACAGACAGACAGACAGTAGGTCAGGAGGGGACGAGCGTGCAGTCTCTGTTTGAGTGGTGTATCACGAATGATAGCGGCTCACATCTGTCTGTCTCTCTGCCTCTGTCTTTCTGAAATCTGATCGCTGTGATTAAATGCTGCATGCAGGCCGCATGTGTGTGTGAGTGTGTTTTGCCTTCATTTATGTCCTCAACCTGCATTATGGAACCTTTCAATTGAAAATGCTTAATAGACTTTTAAATAATGTAATAACAAATAATGCTTTGTGAAGGTTAGAGGACAGAAAATGTAGTTTTCGCAGTGTAAAAACAAGAACAGAAGTGTGTTTGTAGACAAAAATTGCATTATTATAATTAGACTGTCTCCATCCTTTTGACTTGCCTTCTCTAATTTGATTTTTATGCTTTTTATTTTTTTAAATAAGATGTTTTAATTCAGTCTTTTTTTTCATTTCGCAGCAAATCGCAGGACCAAAAACAGTATTTTTTTTTTATTAATTATATATTTTTATTTTAATATTAAATTATATTTTTTTATATTTATTTTATATTAAAAAATTATAATATTTTTAAAGTATTTTATTTAATAAATTTACTTAATTCATTTATGGGCACCAAATGTTCTCATAACTTGCCTTCTCTATTTAATTTTTTTTTATGCTTTTTAAAATTTTTAAATAAGATATTTTAACTTTGTCTTTTTTTTTTCTTATTTTCCATTTTACACAAAATTGGACCAATAAATGATTTACAATTTTTATTTATTATTTATTATATATAGTTATATTTTTATATGAAAATTGTAATAATTAGTATATTTTCTAAATTATTTTATTTATATTATTAAATTAATTAAATTATTTTTTATTCATTTATGGGCACCACATGTCCTCACAACCTGCGTTATGGAAACTTTCAATGGAAAATGCTTTATAAACCTGTAAAATAATGTACTAATTAAAATATGCAAATTGTGGGTTAGAGGACAGAAAATGTCATTTTCTCAGTGTAAAAACAAGAATATGTTTACAAATGTGTGTTTGCAGACAAAATTGTCTTCAGAAATGACATTTTGAGGGTGTTTTAATTGTAAGAATGATCATAAATTGAGTAAATAATGTTTTAAGTTCTCTTTTAGGGGTCAGAGAAGGGTTTGAGTGTGTTTTTTATGTAAAATAATAGATGCTTGTGGTTTGGATGTCTGGATGAATGTGTGTTCGTTTCCCTGGAGGTTTCTGGAGTAGTTGGGGGCGTGTTAGAAGGCCGTTCACAGTGAAGGATTGTGGGAGAGAGGTGTTGACACTAATGCATGATGAATAAGGTCGGGGTGTGTGTGTAAATAATTCATGGCGATTGATCGCTGCTCTGGCAGATTTTGGTGCTGGATTCACACACTTCAGATTCACACACATACGGCACATGCTCTTCATGAAGTCTGTAGGTGCAGCGTCATGAACTGTACTTATGTCTTATGTACTGTATTCATGTTTCGTTTACATGCATTAAGCTGAATTTAACTTTTGGTGCAAAGTTGTTATGGTTCACTGAAACGAAAGCTATTAAAAGCCTTGTTGTTAAAAAATTAAATTAAAATAAAGGCAAAATAATATAAAATATAAAAATTGGATGAAAAACGTAACTAAATTTGAAATAAACATGTAATAATACAATAAAAAACACAAATGTAAATATATATATATGCATGTGTAAAAAAATGGTTTGGGACCATTTTTCTATATAAAATAATAGATGTTTGTGGTTTGCAATATTTAATTATATATATATATATAAACTAATTAAAATAATAAAAACCCTAATTAAATTGATACAATTAAATAAAAAAAAAATTAAAAATTAAAACATTAAACCTTAAAAAACAAACACTAATAAAATGACAAAAGCATGTAACAAGATTAAAAAATTGAATTAAAA